TTTTTTTTTTTTTTTTTTTTTTTTTTTTTAATTCTTTCTCAAGAAAGAGAGACTGGGAAAAGGGAACAACTGTTTGCTATAACATAAGTGATAAGATTTTGTTTCATGGATGTTTCACAATATTTAATGTAAAATGTAATGGATACCAAGTATAAAGTGTCATTCTTTAATTAAAAAAATATAACAGTTGGCAAATTTGCTGTGGTTTAAGGGGGAAAAAACAGTTCAGGATGTGCTGTTATAGGAAAATAATCAACTTTGGGACGGTAAAAGTAACTCAGCTTCATTGCTTGATGAATAAAGGTGATTATTTTCCTATAACAGCACATCCTGAAGTGTTTTTTTTTTTCTTATGCAGTTATGCTTGTTTTAAACCAGTGAGAAGTCAGCAGAAAAAAACCCAAATTAAATTGTTTATTGCAATTATGGTGCATGACAGTTAATTGTCATCTGAAATATCATAATCCTGACATGCCTGTTAACAGCATTCTGAGCTTTTGCTCTTTCTCTGATTTAGCAGTCTAGCAGATTGTATTTCTGCATTCAATAAAAATCCGGTTAATCACCTTTTGTGCAAGTGTTTCTGCTTGACTGGTCTCTCATTACCGCTGTCCAGAGACACACAGCATTCTTTCGTCCGATTGGAAACGTTACATAAAGGCATTAAAGGCACAGCATGACAACGCCGGGTGGATCATGTGGCTGTTTGGTCTCTCGCTGCCTGTAGATATTTTTAGATTTCATAAGCACCTGATGTGAGATTCTTTCCTCTGCGTTGTAGTTATGCGTATTGAGTTCTGTCTGAACAAATGAACGAGTAGACTTCCACAGCTAACGCGGACCGCGCACTGAATCAGCCGGATATTTTCACTGTAACAAGTTTGAGAGATTTAAAGCTTGGCTGTGTGTTTCACATCCATGTATTCCATCCATATATATATATATATATATATAGCTTCCCCTTGTGCCTCTGCTCTCAAGAGGCTGTAGAAAGTGCTTACGTGACTCTTTGGGGACTCCTCAGGGTCTAACTTTGGGCTGGATCTCTCTACGCTGCTGAGGATGCTGAACGGAGGATATAATTGACGTGCCGAGGCAGACTTGGGACGAGAATCTCCCGCCTGGGCTGTCCGCTGAGCCACGGCTTTAAATAGATTGTGGTTATTTTTAGCTGTGGCGGGGCAAAAGGTGGAGTTTTTTTGGCCCTGGGTAGTTTGATGTTGCTGTTTTTACCACTTTGCTGCTGGGATTCTGGTTACCGCTCTTTGAAAGTTGGACGCTAGAGATTTCTCTGACTCTGGTGACTCAAGACTAGAGCTGCATCATGGCCATAATGACTGAAAATTGAAATCATGACTGTTCATAATGCAGGACTAACGTTTTAGTGTGCTATATTATTTTCAGTGAACACGTGCCATTCTTTATTGTACACCTTTATACCACCAATTTCTGATTGGTCAGAAAGTGTTAATTATTTTTCTATAAAAGCAGCTCTAACTGTAGTTTCACCTACAAAACAAACCACAGGTTTATATTAACACGCTTCACACACCAGACTGCATCAAACTACCCCACTGCTGATTAATTTCCTAGAACAGCCCACCCCCTAGTGTTTTATTCCTTACATAATGGTGATATTGTCCTTTCTATAGTAACAGCTAATTCACAGGAACTTGTTTAGCATATTTGATCTAAGCCTAATAATAAACAGATTTAAGAAACATCGTATTTAACAAAAGAAATATGGTGACGTTTTCTGTCTCCGGTGTCGGCGCTTTGTAACAGTTAAAAAGTAACACTAAACAGATAAAAAGTAATCGTGTGCAATTTCCTGTGGTGTAAGAGAAATGGAAAATAATCAACTTTGGGGTGGTAACAGTAACTCTGCTTCCCGTCACACCTCACACCAGCCCTTTGTTGATTGTTTTTCTATAAAAGCACACCCCAGAGTGTTTTATTCCTTGCATATCACTCACCTCTATTCTACATTCCTTCAAATCAAAATGACAAATCTCCCTAGTCACATTAAATACAGTCGAGGCTAAAAGTTTACACACGTAGGCTAAAGACGTTCAAACTCCAGACATTTCCTATTACCGTACATTTCCTGTGTTGAGTCTACTGTACTTCCATGAACGGTCATTTCAAAATAATAGCTAAGAGACAGATTTATTTCAGCTTTTATTTACTATGCCAGATTTTCAGTGTGTCAGACGTTTAAACACACACGCACACGCACTTTTGTTAGTATTTGGTGGCATTGCCTTTCAATTGCTTGAACTTGAATCAAACCCTGGGTGTAGCCTTTTACAAGCTTTTCAGATTACTGGAATTTTTGCCCGTTTCTCCTGACAGAACTGGTGTAACTCAGTCAGGTTAGTGGTTCTCCTCACTCATGCTTTTTCAGTCCAGTCCACAAATTTCCTGT